CGGGTGGATTTTGGGGTCCCCGAGTGGATTTTTGGATCCAAATTTGGATTTTTGGGGTCCCACGGTTGATTTTTGAGGTCCCCGGGTGGATTTTGGGTTCCCTGAGTGGATTTTGGGATCCCGATTTGGATTTTTGGGGTCCCGAGTGGATTTTTGGATCCAAATTTGGATTTTTGGGGTCCCACGGTTGATTTTTGGGGTTCCCGGGTGGATTTTGGGGTCCCCGAGTGGATTTTTGAGGTCCCCGAGTGGATTTTGGGTTCCCTGAGTGGATTTTGGGATCCCGATTTGGATTTTTGGGGTCCCCGAGTGGATTTTGGGGTCCCCGGGTGGATTTTTGGGGTCCCTAAGTGGATTTTTGGGGTTCCCGGGTGGATTTTTGAGGTCCCCGAGTGGATTTTGGGGTTCCCGGGTGGATTTTGGGATCCCTGAGTGGATTTTTGAGGTCCCCGAGTGGATTTTTAGGATTCTCAAGTGGTTTTTTGGGTCTCGAAGCCTGCGGCCTGTGTACCCCAAAAGCCTGAGGCCTGCTCCTGTCGCCATGGCAACGAAGCCTGCGGCCTGTGTACTCCCAAGGCCTGCCCCCGTTGCCATGGCAACGCGCTGCTGTATCGCGACAGTGACAATAAACGGTGCCACGCCACAAACGCGACCGCGGCCGGTGACATCGGGGACGGGGGGGGAAAACACCGAAAATCCCGAAAATCTGTCCCAAAAATAACAAATCCTTTTTTAAAAAAATGGCTAAAAAAGGGTCAGGAAACGCTCCAAAAAAAAAACCTTCAAAAACGGGAAAAAAAACGTCAAAACGTCCCCAAAACGAAGAAAATTTCGGATTTCGAATCAGAATCGTGAAAATTTTCCCTCAAAAAAAAGTCAAAAAGGTTCCAAAAAATAAAAAAATCCAAAGAAACCCAAAAAAAAGCCTCAAAAGGTCGTCCGGGACCTCAAATTTTGGGATTCAGGGCACCCCAAGAAGATTTTGGGGGGAAAAATGGAGATTTTTCGTTTTTAATGGAATTTTCGAGTGGAAAATGGGGGTTTGGGGGGAAAAAAATGTGATTTTATGGGGAAAAAAAGAGAATTTTTGAGGGAAAAAGAAGGAAAAGAAGCGGATTTGTTTAAAATCGGGGTTTAAGAGGAAAAAATTGGAATTGATCGGATTTTTTTTAGGATTTTTTAGGATTGAATTTATCTGATTTATGGGATTTTTTGGGGGGGGGGGAGGGGAAGAAAAACTCAATTTTTTTGGGGTGTAAAACGGCGTTTTCCGGGAATTTTTGAGGGGGAAAAACGGGAATTTGGAGAAAAACGGGAAAAGACGATTTTTAAAAAGAGCCGGAGTCGAAAATAAAAGCGGAAAAATAAATGATTTCCCGCCCCTCCCCCACCCCGGGGTTAATTAAATCAGGTTAATTAATTCAGGTTAATTAAATCCTCCCCCCGTTAATGAGGGGTGGGGGGAGGGGCTGGGGGTCTTGGGAAAGGAGATGGCCGCGGTCACTCAGGGGTCACTCAGTGTCCAGTGGTCACTCAAGGGTCACTCAGGGGTCACTCAGGGGTCACTCAGGGGTCACTCAGTGTCCAGTGGTCCCTCAGGATCACTCAGGGGTCACTCAGGGGTCACTCAGGGTCACTCAGTGTCCAGTGGTCACTCAGAGGTCACTCAGTGCCCGGTGGTCACTCAGTGGTCACTCAGGGGTCACTCAGTGGTCAGTGGTCACTCAGTGGTCACTCAGGGGTCACTCAGTGGTCAGTGGTCACTCAG